CAGGGCAGTCGTTACTCGGTTGCTCCGATATTTGCCCTTCTTCCAGGGTAGCGCCCCGGACGGGAAGGTCGGCTCCACCGACTCGAATTCTCCGGGGGCGGATTCGGGGACCCGGAACTCGCAACTCGGACGATTGTCAGGCATCGCGCGTATTCTTGGCATCCTTTCCCCCCGAAACGAGAGTCCACCGAATGCGTCCAATTTCTTCCGCCCAGGTGTCCTCGGGTCCAGGAGGTTCAGAACTGATACTGACCGAAAATCACTTAAGGTGATATGAAAGGGTCATTCTATTGGGTTGGCAACTAAGTGATTGCGAATTTTTTAATTCCATCTATCGACAGAATCCGTAATTATTTAGTTGCCAACCCAGTATATATCAAAACGTCCAAATATTTATAAGACTTTTCTCCAAACTGGGCTCACCGAATTATTTGAAACGTTAACACGTGATTATGGAGACCCTAGGGAAGAACGCGATACCCGTGAAATTTCATTTTTCAACGACACATTTATTTTTTTATTTAGCCTAGACTAGAACTAAAGTCACATTTTATTGTGGAAAATTAAGTTTCATGAGTATCGCGTTCTTTCTTAGAGCCTCCATGATCATGTACTGAAGTTTCAAATAATTCGGTGCACCCAGTTTGGAGAAAAGTTTTATAAATATTTTGACGTTTTGATATATGGAATGATCTTTTCATGTCACCTTAAATCACTAACTAATTGTATGTTCTTCTTCTTCTTTCGTTTTTTGGTCTAGGGTTGGTTCCCTTTAAGCCACGGTTTTTCAGCGTGTTAGTATGTATTATATCCCGTTTATACTTTCGTTTCTTAATTTGTTGCTGTTTCGTTTTTCGTTGTTATGGTCTTCGGTCTATCCCCTTTCAATCCACAATTTTGCTATGTTAAATACATTGTTTAAACAAATCTTGGCTTATTTATCGCGGTTTATTCACGAGACTCACATTTCCCGACGCACACAATGGCGGCACCTCCACCATCCCCCTAATTGTATGTTAATGTAAACGCATAATCTCATTCTAATCAACTATTAACGCGTTAACCAAGGTTGGTGATAACGGGAATAAGACGGTCGATTTAGAGAATTTTTTTATAGTGCAACTTAGAATTTTATAAGAAGAGCTGATCCAACTTTCTGCAGGGGCGTCTTCGTTGCTGAATACGTCGATACTCCTCGTATTTTGTTTTTCGGTAAACTGTAAACTGCAATTTTAGTAAGTTGTAAAAAAACAGGCGTGGTATGTTGTCCCAGCACTAAATTGAAGAAACTCCTAACGGCTAATATGTCGTCGATTGTCGTGAAATTTCCGATGAAACGCCACCAGGGCGTTTTACCGTAGCTTATGTCGAAAACACGTTTACCGAAATTTAGATTCGCCAAACTGGTGAAGCAATTCGTGCAACCGACGTCTTTTTCTATCCGATGAAGGGCTTTGCTCCAAGCAGTCGCTCGAGCGCGTGCAATTTTTCCACATGACGGCTACGGAAAAGGAGTTTCTCCTCGGGTAATCATTTTTCGATCACGGTGAAAATATTCGGATACTTAAACAGATTTAACGTAAATACCCAAAGTGACGTTCCAAAAATGCGTTTACCATTTCTGACACTATATTACTTCCTCGTAGACATGTCGACGAATCCGTTCCAACAGATTCCAAGTATGTTACATAGAGTACGAGATAAGCCTCTTATCTTATACATGTTTCTGCAAAGCCATCATAATCGCAAACTGATTCCTCCTTGATTAATGTAATTCTACGTATCATCAAACCTAGATATAATTGCTTAAGGTGGTGTGAAAGGTACCGAGAAGTTTAACCGATGCCTGTAAAAATGAATTCTAATCGATATACTATCTTAAACATCTAGCATCGTTATCGACATTTATATTCACATCGACAGCTGCGCCGTTTACATTGAGTACCTACGGTATAGCGGTAATATAAATGGTATACTCCATGTGTCGTTTTAGTAGAATGATCATAAACAAATTGCAATCAAACTCCCGAAATCCACGGAATTCTGATTTTTTTATACTCCAATCGACTACGGCGCCATCTACTGCATTCAACGTCAAGTAAATGTTGACTTTAGAAGCACGCGGTATCTAGGGGACAAGTTAGCACTCCGTTGCAATCATTTATGAAACAATTCGCCATATTTTCCCATCTGGCTTTGCAACATTCGATTACTATACTATTCTAAATTGCTCGATTAAATTAAATAGGTCCAGAAAGTCTTCACTTTCCAATTTGAGCCATGAAAACACATAAAGCACCCGAAATATGCGTGGACGACCCCATCTTAGTTCTAATCTACGATAACTACAAAAAATGGATATAACTCTTAGAATTTCACGGACATCAGGGCATTCCTTAGGATCTTCTTGTTGACGGTATAAAATTACGAACGGTTTAATACACCCAGTTCGAAGAAATGTTTCATGAACGACTTGACCCCTCAGATGGCACTTTCACATCAACTTAATCCTTCCTGAAATGAAACCCTGTTAAGAAGCATGGTACGTAAAAATAAGCATAAAAGATGCTTAACATTTTTTAATTTAATACAATCCCCAAAGGCGCCCATCGTCCCGCCGTTCTTCGTCAGACAGGACCTTGGAAAATGTCTCGGGAGCACAAACGAGTTTACCCGATCGTCCGTCGGGGTCCTGGCAGAGGTGCTTAACCTCGGAGATCGCTGATGCCTAAATAATAGGCATAATCGCCTTTTCGTCCATGGGAACGGGCTTCCTCGGCCAGCTTAGAGCCCAATCGTTCCATCGTGGTAGCCGGGCTGGGATTTACGAAATGCCTAAACGATTCGCGTAAGCGCTCTTTCCGTCGAGGACCAGTTTCGATCGTGGACTGAATAAAATTTTCGGTTTCGCCCTCCTTACCCCGGCCGCTCTTAGCCCCTCTCGTTAGATAAGTATTGGTCTCGAACCGCTTGAAAATCCACTCTGAGTATCGGGGCATCCTTTCTCTTCCCCTCGATGCACCCAATGTGCTCCTTATGCTGCACAAGTTTCTCCCGAAAGAAGTCCTACGAAGAGTCCTAGACCGACCAGGTGAACCCTCGTTGCTCCAGGAACGTCTGCCTTCGCGTCCTTCGGGACACGTTCAGGAGAATTGGATCAAATTCCTTCTAAAAATCCCATTTGGCCTGGAGCTGATCAATCGTGGGAAAACCATGCTCTGCTGCACCAACGAAGCATTGTACACTAAACCGGGGACCCAGGATCGATCCCTATAGCCTCATCATTTTGTTTTGTTTTTTTTTATGAAATTCACAAGCCGGAGTTACATTCGATGGCCAAATTATTAGTTACCCGTGTAAAGTGAATCTCCCCTCACACCAATCGATTCGAGTAAGACACTTTTTTTAAGGGTATTGGACCTTTTTAACCCTTTCATTGCGGCAGTCCACTCCGCCAGACAACCGCCAATGAACGCGACACCGCGCCGAAAGGGTGCACATTGCGCTTCGGCAGTCTTCGGGGTTCGAACTTACGTCTTCCACCTAAACAATTCCTTCTTGACTGCCTTTTGTATGTATACTTTTCTAAGAGTTAAATAACAACTGTTTTGTCGTATTGCTCCATTATTAAATTTCCAAATAAAAATCTAATCTTAAATTTTTAAGAATTTAAAGTTATCCCAATAGCTGGTCCTCTCATCTCGTCTCGATGGCCAAACCCTGTTACGTGTGTTCAAAATGTACTTTTAGGATGATTAATCCAATACGGGTCAATACAATCAAAAGATACTTTGCAGATATGGCAGAATATGTTACGGACTAAAGTCGGCGTTCATACACAAAGGTTGTCGCGTGTGTGCCGATTATAGTTGGCGCTCGTACACCCAGGACGTCGCGCGGATGTTAACTATAGTCGACACTCGTAACGAAAGGGTTAAGGGTATTGGATCGAACTGTCTGAAACTTTGACACGTGACTCATGAGCACCTTGGAATTATCCTGTTATTTTCAAAATTTGGATGCTCGAAAAACAATTTCTGACATGACCTAAACCGAAACCGAAATGGCATCGGGTTTTTATATAGCGGTAGATATACAATTATTGAAGGCTCCGATATGAGAAGCAAAAGTGTCAGGACAATTGTACAACAATTTAGAACACTCTTGTAATAGAGAAACTTACATTTGAACGGGATAAAATAAAAAAAATGTTTTATATATGTATTAACTTTTATGCTAATGCGGTGTTAACGCGAAGTCTCGGAGAGGAAATTTAGTTGGCACTGAAATCACAGATGGCGCAGGGTGGCACTCTGTAGTCAATTAGGGCATCGAAAACGATTAATCCAGAGGATTTCTGGAGTTTTACGTAAAGAAAGAAGTTTCACTTAAAAAATAATTGGTAATAAATAAGGTTACTTTTAATGGGCTGGTTGATACATTCGTAAACAAATTTGTAAAAAAAAGTTAATGTTCTGCATCGAAATAAACTACGTATTAATCAATAATGGATTCTCCGGTACAGTTAGTCACTTTTTGCCATCTTCCCAGCAACTTTATTTAAGTATACAATTATCTCCAAAACAAATCTCTGTAAAAATAATTGTCCGCAAACTTATAGATCAACCTAATATGATTAATGGATATCCAAATTTGATGATCTTCCGTAAACTGGCAGTGGTACGAAAGTTCTCTAAGCAGAAAATTGGAAATTTGATAATATACATTGCATTGTAGTACATATATAAACGCAAATATATATAACATGTACTAAATACTATGTACACTGAGTGGGTATGTGATGTATATTTTAACGGTTACATTTTAGAGCCACTGGTATAATTGGGCGTCAATATTTTGGTTACTATTATACCACATTAACGTAATTAACATTGCTGCGAAGCTTTGTTGCAAGTATTTAAGTGAAAGTATCTTGCAAGAAGCGAGTTCAAGAGCAGCTTTTGGTAGCGTTAAATAAATGATAAATTCGATTGTTACAGGTATAGAAACGAAATTTGCAGGATCTAGCTGCAATGATCTGGTCACCTCTGATGGAGCTGGCTCCACGATAATCAGTGGTCACTTTGACAAGAGGATCAGATTTTGGGACACCAGGGCAGAATCGAGTTCAAACGATATCCTTCTGCAAGGAAAAGTCACATCTCTTGATCTTTCTCGTGGTGAGTTAAATTATGAAAAAACACCTTTGGTGAAGGAAAAAGAATTATGGTAGTAGGGGCCATTCGAAGAAAATTAAGGGACCTCCTTCGAGTTGACGGCCAAAAAATAAGATGATCTTTGGGATTTAACCAGTTAACACGTTGAGTGCGGCGTCGGTCCCTGGGGACCGACAGTGAACTTTCTGTCTGGGCGGCGTTGGTCCCTTGGGACTGACACGGCATCAAGAATCCTATATATAAAAAATTGTGCCGCCCAAACGGAAAGCTCAGCAAAATCGGTTCCGCGCTCAACGTGTTAATGGCTTTTGATAAGTATACTCATCATGAAGACACTTTTCAAAGAGCGTCGCAACAGCTAACTGGTTAAAGAAAAAGAAACTATACGTCCCGTTAACATGAAACTTTCTTGGTATATTTAACTATATTTTAAGACCGAACAGTTTCTTTTTTTTTTAAGTGAAAATATTGAATTGCTTTAGAATTAAAAATGCCAATGGATAAGTTTTAAACAAAGACACGTTTTCGTGCCGGTAGACATTTGACTTCACAAGCTATTTAGTTCAAGATAGATTTAACGCAATAATTATAGGCTCGCTTGATTCCTCGAGAAATTCTAATCGTTTCTGATGTATCACTCAAAAATGTCGTGTGGTAAAAATTATGTGAGGATGCCATTACTTTCCTTAAAATGTCCCTTTGACGTCAAGGCGCTATATTTAAATTTCCATGAAAATCGGCTGAAAAATGAAAAAAGGTCTCTTGAAAAGGACACTGTATTTATTGCGCTGGATAGGTATAATAACGATTCGCTCGGGAATACATTTTACAATTTTTACTGAATTAACATTAAAACCACCAAGCCTGTAAAATGACCGGTTTCAGAATTTTCGTTTCAACTTTTGTTTCTTCAGTTTCATTGCTTTTCGCCACATGATTTCGCTAGTTTTCCCATAATATAAATAGAAACAATATTTCATTATATGGTATACTTGTTTTCCCCCTAGCAGTTTGTTCTAAGATACATAAGTATGTACAGGACCATTTTCTACGAGCCGGCTAAATAATTATTCCGAAAGTCTTAATTTTAAAACCATGAGCATTCCCCAATATCATTTAATTCCAAATGTTCCGCCCCGGAATCCCCAATTACGGACTCTTCGCGTTCACAACATGACCTGTCAACCAAATTGGGATTTTCCCAGCTGTCACTTGACAGGTCATCGTCCTGCGTCTCTTCAACCGTCATACAAGCCAATGAACTTCAGGCCAATCCATCCCCACCAGGAATTCAGGATTAACAAACACCCCAGGAGGACTAAAATCAAATAATAAAGTCAGTTCTGATTTGGACCTTGACCCTGTCTTATCACTTATTCTTATCTCATTAGAATTACCCAAGTAAATAGCGTAGCGTGCGATATACGTAGTACGGCGCACCCCACATGAATGGCAACAAACAAAGGCAAGTTTGGGTGTTCCCATTTCATCAGTTTGTATTGATTGACTATCATCAGAAGACAAACGATATTCTATCGCGTGCTCATATGTGCCCATAAATATGAAAGTGGTCTAAGTCAAAATTAAAAAAAAATGAGTTTATCAGTTATTTCACGCCATATTATTTCAAACGAAATTAATTCAATGTAATTTCGAAACAAAAAATATATGACTTAGACCACTTTCATAATTATGGGCACATATATTTCATCTATTTACCGTGGAACCCCGCATTCATCGTTGCACAGAAAATTGCAGTAGAAATAACCAACGTTGAAATTGAAACAGAAAAATTAATTATTTTTACCCGTGACTTGAATATCATTTCGTTTAGTATTACCCTTATCAAAGAAATATAACATTTATTTTGGAATCTTTAGAATTTAGACAGGTTCTAAAATAAAAGTTATATATTGGGTTGTTCGGAAAGTAATTTCGTTTTTTTTTTTTATGAAAATGAGAGACAATTTTTTTTATAGCGAATAAATATTTTATTGAATTATATATTGTTCATTCTGATCCAATACCTTTTGCCATCTTTGTGGCAGTAGCATGATTCCACGCTCATAAAATGTTCGGTTTTTGCTGTCAAAAAATTGATCCAGGTGAATTTTGACCTCCTAATTTGAAGTAAAGGTTTTATCGTCTAAACAATTTTGTAGAGACCGGAACAAGTAATAATCAGAAGGTGCTAGATCTGGAGAATATGGTTGGTGTGGCAGTATATCCCATCCAAGCTGTAGAAGCTTTAGGCGAGTTAAGAAACTTGTATGAGGTCTCGCATTATCTTGGTGAAACACTACACTTTTCTATTGATCAATGCTGGTCTCTTCTGTTTAAGTGAATCATTCAATTTGTCCAGCTGGGGACAGTACACTTCAGAATTGATCGCTGTGTTGTTCGGTAGAATCTCAAAAAAAAACGATTTCTTTGAAATCCCACCAAACAGATACCATCACCTTTTTTTGATGAATTTCGGCTTTCGAAGTTCTTTGAGCCGGTTCATCTTTTTTACTCTATGATCTCTTGCGTGTAACATTGTCGTAGACAACCCATTTCTCGTCCCCAGGGATGATGCACTTCATAAATGGATCATTTTCTTGACGTTTGAGAAGCAAATTACAGACGTCAATGCGATGACCCAAATTTCTTTCCGCAAGAACACGAGGAATCCATATTTCGAGCTTTGAGATTAAACTTAGGCGTTTCAAATGATCATGAACGGTCGAATTCGATAAATTTAATCTCTCAGCGATTTCACCAGTTGTTATTCGCCGGTTTGCATCAATTAATGCCTTTATTGTGTTTTCATCGGCTTTAAGTGGCCTTCCAGAACGTGGTGCATCTTCGATATCAAAATTACCGGATCGAAATTTTGCAAACCAGTTTTGACCCTGGCGTTCTGTCAATACATCTTCTCCATACACGTCGGATAATTTTTTTCTTGCTTGAACAGCATTTTTACCTTTTGGATAGTAAATAAGTAAAATATGCCGAAAATGCCGCTTTTTACTTTCCATATTTGAAAGGGTACCAACCAAAAACTACTGCGTAGAATCAATCAAACTTTTTCACAAGAAAGCCTTGCTAGATCAGCTGTCCAAATATATAATGATTATGCGGCTAAAGTGTGAAGTTGGCCGTGAAAAAAAAAAATTAAGTGCTCTGTTGGGAAACAACGAAATTACTTTCCGAACAACCCAATATTTCTGTCCATGACATTTAAGTATTAATCAATTATATATAATTGCAAAAATGTTGTAACGAAAAATATATATATATAAATTGTCGGTGGTTTTAGCGTTAACCGTCCTTATCAGATATCTGAAAAGCTTTCCCAGGATAACCGAATTGCGGGCGAAGATCAATACGCGGTCGGAGCACAATCGGATCTTTAAAGGAAATCGCGGAAGATGAAAAGGGGCGCGCGCGAAAGAATCGCGGGGATTGAAAGGCCGACGATCGGAGAGAAAAAGTGAATTGGAAAGAAGCAAGCAGCGCCGCCGGAAGTAAGCCTTTTCGAAAAGGAAGGCTCCTCGAGCGGCGCCTCGACGCATCGCGCCGCGATTTTTGCCGGTCTGTTAGATTCGCTCGCGGAGAGATATCGCGCCGCGTTTCGACAATGTCCCAAAGCACCCATTTGCGGGCTCCGCCGCGTTGATTGAAGTGCTCGCTCGAAAAGAGAGGTATTGCACTCTCGCATTTCATTAATCTCGGTAATGCGCGCTTTAGGATATAGACCGAACGCTCGGCCGGAGGAAAAACCGCGCGTCGCGCCGCCCGCGGGAAGTGCTGATGATGCTGATAACGCTGATAACGCGGATCAGAGTCTTCCATGCTTGGCATAGCGTTAAGGGGATTCGGATCTATTGAGGGGGTTAAAATTGCACATTTCTCAAACAGGTACAGGTTAAAAATGAAACGCAACATTTGAATACAGTTTAAGGGGATATGAAAGTGGCATCCGAAAGCTCAATCGTTCATAAAACTTTTCTTCAAACTGGGTGTCTCATATCGTTTCATACTTTAAAACGTGAATATGGAGATCCTAAGGTAGGTCCTGAAACTAACAAAATTTCATTTTTTATAAGCTATTTTAAAAATACCTATAAACAAATTTGAAAAGAATTGAAATTTCATGAGTTTCAGGACCTTTCTTATAATCTCCCAATTCACGTTGTAAAGTTTCAAACTAATCGATAAATCGGGGTGGGAGAAAAGTTTTATAAACGGAACCTCTTCGACACCAGTTTCACATCACCTTAAGGGGATGTGAAAGTGACATCCAAAGGCCAGTCTTTCGTGAAACTTTTCTACGGACTGGGTGTACCGAATTGTTTCAAACTTCACTAAGTAAATATGGAGACTGTAAGAAAGGCACTCGTGAAATTTCAGTTTTTATAAAAGAAATTTCGAGATATCTATGGAGAAATTGTTAAAAGATTTAAATATTATGGGTGTAGGGACCTTCCTTACGGCCTCCGTATTCAGGTTCTAATGTTTGAAACGATTCGATACACCCAGTTCAGAGGAAAGCTTCATAGACGAGACCTCTTCGACGCCACTTTCACATCACCTTAAGCCTGTGTCTTGTCGCGATTCCGATGGAATCTCAAAGAATCTTTCCGCAAAACGAAATTTGGAACCGAGTTAGCGGCCGCCGCGCCGTGAGAATTGTTTAAGTTGCAATTTCTTTTCCCATCTTCTGAGTTTTTAAGAGCTCGAAAATAACCGCGACTAAAATTTTCGAGTTACGAGTACGGTTTGATTCTGCTTTGTAGTCATTCGGACAGCACCCTTTGCTAGGACGTGGTTTTCAATCCTTTGTCGACCTAAGAACTCTTAGAACGGGACTGTTGTAATTAACCATATTGATATCATTATTCATCAATTAATTCGAAAAAGTGTCGGTAGTACATAAGTAGTTATGATACATACATTGTAAAGAACCGTACCTTGGGGTACATCCTCGTTTGTCATAAGTTTTCAGGCAGATCGATCATTCTATATTATTCTGCCTTCAGAAGGAGGATCATGATTAATGCTTTCTCAGAAGTGGTCATGTTCTTTAATTTCCGATAGCATTAAATAATTTTAAAAAGTCATTTTATACAATTGTTGAAAAATTGGCCAAAGCTTATTTTAATAAATAACTAAAATTTTCCGTAATTTTGCTTCTACGTAATTCTCATTACTGTATCCACATATTCTGTCAACACGTGTGCAAAATATGAACTATGTGGAATCAAAACTTTTTCAGATATTTTATGACAAAACATGAAAAATGGCATTCTTTGGGAACTGGTTTCCAAGTTTCAAAAGAGTTATTTTTTTGTAAAATGATATGTACCTAAATGTGTGACTAGTAACATTATTAAACTGTATTTTGCGTTTCATTTTTTCCTGTAATTGTCAGAAAAATGGGTATTTTCATCCTGTTAATAAGTATTCCTTATACTTTAACTGTACTAATCAATATCCCTTATACTCTAACTATACTAATTAATATCCCTTATACTCTAACTATACAAATAAGTATCCCTTATACTATAATAAGCTCCCTTAACGGCGTTCACCACCAAAGTGGGGACGATGACTTCCACCGCTAGATGGTTTTGGTATCGAATTCGGTGGGAGGTAACCAAAACGTACTTTCTCGCTCGGATGAGGGAGACGCGACGCATAATGGGCAGTGTTTAGCAACGGGCGAAAAATGTGTGCGTATTTTGCACGTATACAACTCACACAACGGCTAGACGCCTCTGGACTAGGCGCCGAAACGTGTGTAACCTTCGGCCGCACGCACACGCCAGTTGGACGCTCCGCCTAGAGTCGGCAACGGTTGCTAAGGAATGCCCAAATTCCTCGCGAGAAACTTGAAAATTCTGAAAAAGGTGCTTCACGGGGACAACGATTCTGAGCGTATTTCTCAACCGATTAAGCTCAACGAGTGCTCGTTTTAAAGATAAAATGTTGACGTGTGTTTACATGGGAGCGATTTTCGATCGAGCACCTCCTTCCTAGGTAAAAGGGCATTGAAATTATGTCGTTGCACTTTTCTATATGAAAATGACCACTTATCGAAAATCGCTCCCATATAAACACAGGTCGACATTTCATCTTCGATATGAGCACTCGTTAAGCTCGATCGGTTTAGAAATACGTTCGGAATCGTTGTCCCCGTGAGGCCCTGCAAAATCGCTCGAGTGGTGAGCGCCCTTAACGCTAGAACTACCGGCGGATTTTTTTTGGCTGTAATGGGCCATCTAAAAGCAGTCATTTTGACTGAGCTTGGTAGTTCTAGTGGGAAGGCGATGTGAAAAATGGTCTTTAGAACCATCTCACATACTGCGCATAGTAGTAACCATAAGCATAGTATCAAGGACTCGCCGATGAAATTGTCGAACACTGACGCATATTAATTTTTCTGCAAATATGAAGTGTATGTGAGGGGCCTTACTAATCGGTGAGAACCAATTCCGCGGATACATTACTTTTATGGCGGTATAAAAGGTGCCGAGAAACGTAATTAATATCGATAATGAAGATTCTGCTAACTGATATACCATTTACCGACATTTACATTTATATTGACAGCTATGTCGTATTACCCTCAATATTGTACAGATTGCCATACTACTTTTGTCGTTTCGGTAGAATGATTATGAAGGAACTAGCACCCCCGTCGCGGCTTCGCTCGCGATACGTGATGATAAAACATTCATCATAACAATATAATAATATAATTACAGTAATGTATATTTAACAGTGGGACCAAAACATCCTGCTATTGACACAACTATCGATATGGATATTAGTATTAGTAACGTATCGCGCTGATCCATATGGCATATCGGTTACAGGAATTCTGTTTTCCTGACATCGATTATGTTTCTTGGTGCCTTTTACGTTGCCTTATCGTACTCTGAAAGGTGGCTTTGAACGGTCAATTGCGCGAATGCACCTTCTTTAACGATGAACAAACCGATTCGTCTGAAATTGTAAAACACGATTTTTGAGATGCCGAGGCCATTTCTGTCACTCAATATAATGCGTATTTCGAAAAACAAATTTTTACTTAGCGTGGACCAGAAACACAATGACAAATTTCTGCCTTTAACACTAACCGTACCGACAATTTGTAACTCCATTACCGATACATTAAAAAACGGTAATTTCACCGGCCAGTGGTATGGTTAGTGTTAATCACTTTTAGAAGGGTATAAACTAACAACTGACCGTGTCAGAAATGATGTTCAATCACTTGAAAAACGGTAAACAAAGTGTATCTGCGAATTTGGGCTGTATAACTTAAGTACCCCATACACTATAACTGCTCTTGGAACAAAAAAATAGTTGCCGCTAACTAAATCAGATGGCGATATTGTGGATTAAATGATAAAAAATCAGGAATCCAGGGGATTTCTTGAGTTTTACTTCGATTAATAATCAATCTTTTGAAATAACGTGTGGAGTATAACATTTCATACAGATCGCTGGGTACAATTCAGTGGACAACATAAATGTGGATATCGGTAACGTGGCACGCGGTTTCAGGGAGTATATCGGCATTCTTTTTCACTGACGACGATTCAATTTCTCAGCGTCTTTCACATTACCTTAATTCGATGCTAATCCTTGAATACGATTGGACAAAAGGCGCCCGAGACAAAGACCTAAGGAGAGCGGTAATTGAACGTAACTACTCGCGTTTTGCTTTCAGATGCGAATTACCTTCTGAGCTGCGTCCGGGATGACACCGTCAAGCTCCTCGACCTGAGGATGAAGCAGATCGTTGGCTCGTTCAGGTGAGTTGCATCCGACGACTTCTGCCACGCTTGGGCACTATCCTACGAGATAAATGCCTAGCTCATGTATCATGTAAGACATGTCTATCTCCATGGCATAGAACGGGTTTGTCAGCGTGATGGATTTGGTGGACCCGCTTTATTGAGATAATGCGAAGTGTCATTAATTGATGTATTTCTGAATTTCTACAGGCTTGTTTAATGTATGTTAAATTGATTTTTTATTCATTTCCTCCTTGGCTGGTGTCATATATCATGATTTTTAACTACTAGGTAAATTATGATGCATTACCAGGTACCATATGAAGTATAATATACGTATAGTGGATGTACAAATTAAGACGCAAGTACAGAAAACTTACATCATCTATGGTATGTGTAATAAAAATATAGCCCGTAAATATAGAAGTAAATCTTTTTCACGCCTATATTTTCAGTACATATATCATAGAAGTCTAAATAACCTATATAGAAGTCTAAACTATTGGAAAATGTTAAATTGATAGTATATATTAAAATTAATAGTTTATACTCAGCTTCCACAGACTTATAAAAATGTAGTTACACTATAAAAAATTACGCATATTTAAATGAAATATTGTTAAAAAATATCCATAAAATTCATACATTTTTAGTATATAAGGTTGTGGTAAAATTATAAGTTTCGTATCTTAATTGTGAATCAGCATACACTTCTAATTAAAATGATGTTCAATTCCCGACAATTGCTAAACAATTTATGTATCAAAAACATTAGGGCCTATCTTCGTAACCGTACCGAACAATTTCTCAAATAGACTCGGTTCACAGAGAGTTATGAATTTAATATTTGTTACCTGTATATATAGTTTTTTTTTACAATGCATATGCACACTGAATGAATATCTATGAAGCATGTACATATTATGTTTAATACCCAGTCATTTAGCCTTTGAGTATATCTAAAATAGCTTTGGTAGATATCTGCATATATCTTATAGATATTCGATAGAAATTAATATGCGTATATATTACGTATACTATACATTCAGCGATGCCTGTATGAGAGTTAATGATTGAGCCAAAAAAAGAAAAGTCGATTTGTTCAAAACTCAGTGGTGACCTAACGCTTTAATCGAGGGTACTGCTGGAAGAATAAGGTCCTTCGTTCCATTTGAAACACAATGAATGTGTTTCCTTCTTACAGCAATGCCATCAGCCGAGATGGAAGACCTCGTAAATAACCCTTTCTCCCTGGTGTATCGTATATGATGTATTTGCTTTCTGTTTACCGTCGTTTAACTTACAAGGAAACATTCACAAGTGTTCGCCGTTAATCTTATTGATTTTCATATATGTTAAAGAACATAAAAATCTAAAAGACACGTGTTTTTTTTTATCTACAATGGTCCACATTTAAGGGGTGAAACAACCCCCTCAAAGTGCGGTGAAAATTCGATTTTTATATTAACTTTCGTAGAAGGAGGGGAGGGATTTCGACGAAACTTGACAAAAACGTATTCTGTATAAGGCTGGTGAAAACACAATATTGTCCAGAAATGGTACATCACCTCAAGGAGGTGAACTACCCTTTAGGCGAAATTTTGTTGTAACATCTATTAAACAAGCACTGCTGCTTAAGTTCCACTTACGCCATGTAATTGCTCACAAAAAATTAGGAAATACGTGTTTTTTGCATTTTGCTAATAAACATTTATACATCGATTGAAAAGAATGGATGTAGGTGGTATATGGGTATATTCTGACTATCTTTATTGGGTTATATCGTCATCGAGTCTGTTGCGAAACAATTTCAGTCTCTTAAAGTGTTTCTTTAATTTATTTATAAATAATTGCATGTTATAAAAACCAACGACATTTTGAGGAATTAGCACGTTTACACGATTTATGTTCAATGAATTGGTCACGATATGACCCAATAAAGATAGTCAGGATATACCCATATACCATCTACATCCATTCTTTTCAATCGATGTATAAATGTTTATTGACAAACAGCAAAAAACACGTATTTCCTCATTTTTTGTGAACAATAACATGGCGTAAGTAGAATTTAAGTAGGAGTGCTTGTTTGATAGATATGACAAAAAAATGTCGCCTGAAGGGTAGTTCACCCCATGAGGTGGCGTAGCATTATTGGACAATATGGTGTTTTCACCGTCCTTATACAGAATACGTTTATACTAAGTTTCGTCGAAATCCCTCCACTGCTTCTACGAAAATTAATATAAAAATCGAATTTTCACCACACTTTGGGTGGTTGTTTCACCCCTTAAATGTGGATCATTGCAGATAACAAAAGCACGTATCTCTTAAATGTTTATATTCTTCAACATATATGAAAATCTTGGGAATGTTTCCTTGTTAGTATAATGTCCGGGACTAAATACGTTTTCACGTTTCTAGAAATATAGGAATTTGATCTTTCAGTCTGGTGGAAAACGTTAACGTAAACAAAATATAAGGAATTTCGCCAATAAATCTTTTAAATCGTGTTTGCCGGAAAATAACTAACAAGGGTACACTTGATTTTATTTATTATTGAGATTTGTAAAATAAAGTAGAGGAGGGAGAAAGGAAGTATGTTCAATTTTAAGTAAAATTGAGGAGATGATACCAGCCTATTTAGGAGAGTCTATAAACGATCTTTTTATTCCAAAGTAATTAGACAATCAGTAAAACAGAGTAATACGTAAAAAACCAACTTAATCTCCTTAAAAAGTTACATGATCAGTGTTTTAATAATACGAATAATATTTTTTGGCCGTTTTTTTAATTTCCGCATGTTATTCGCCACATAAAGTATAGCTTGTTATCAATCTGCTTTTTGAAAATTATTGTTTTGCCTTATTTCTGAGTTTATGCGTACCAGCTTCTTGGTAAACTGTTTTTATTCTTCTGTGATATACTAGAAATTGTAAATATAACATTTATAACAGTGTCACTGTGGTAAAATGAACGTTTCATTCAACATCTGTTTTGACATGGATATTTGCCCACGATTTGATGGACGAAGGTAAAAAAAAACTCGATGCAATTTTCCAAACTTCAGTCACCCCGTAATTAAGCGCTTTCAAATTATGGTTGATGATTACGAACCACTCCATATGCTCATCCGAAGATTAATTAACAACCACAGGCATTACTCAATACATTCCGAAATTGAATGATAGTGGAATATTACTATCATCGCCAAACTCTCGTAATTAATTATTCATATCTACACTCTAATTCGTCCTTTGCCATATCCTTGCCACAAATAAATACGTATGTACGTTATTGAAAGGAGCAAGCCTGCAATAGCGATAGTATAATGAGTTTGAAATCGCAGCAGTTATGGTTATCACTGAATTCCTGGGCTTTCTCACAATTATCAGTTTGTCAGTATTACGAAGTTCGTTGACATTTACGTAATTGTTTGAGGTAAAAAAGGTACTTAAAGCTACTTAATGCATTCCTCGAGTGAGCTTAACCCTTTCGTTACCTTGGACGAGATATCTCGCTACCCAATACTGGCCGATTAACGCTTTTGACGAGATATCTCGCGATCCGGTAGTAGCGGATTAAGCTAGATTATCTCTCGAAGACTGCCCCGGCTTCCTCTGATAGCGACATAATGAAATTTGAGAAAAAGTAACATTTTATCCGCAACTTTTACATTAACGGCACCGTTCAGCTCCGTGTCAAGAGTGCGCCACGCTTTCCGCCGAAGACATTCGATCCGATTTGTTTGGTCGGTCCTCGTTTATGCAATCGACTCGGGCCGATCGTCAAACAACCCATTAAGTTATCCAGAAATCAGAGTGGCGGCGTCGCGAGTTAACGCGAAGAGGGGCACATCTTCGTACCGAAGGTGCGGCCCCGCCAGGGAGCGGCCCGGCAAATATTTGCAATCAGAATGGAAACGACTGATGGAAGAAGGAATCGAAGTTGACATTGGGTCGCGGCTGTTTTTCGAGCAACCGGCGCTTGATCGACGAGCGTCCGGCGGCTTGAAAAACGCTCCGAGCGAAAAAGCTCTCCCTCTGGCAGCCGAATCGATTCTCGCCGAAAGCTCGCCTCCCGATTATCTTATCTCCGTTTTTAAGTAGAACCTTGTAGTGGTAATATTTAATGTATCTATATAATAAGTAATATATGTAAAGGGAGAGATGAAGAGAGACGGAACCAGGAGACTCAAAGGTGTTTCGTGCAGAAGAAGCAAGTGGGCTTGCATGATAATAGGCCCGTGATCAAGTTCTGAAGAAGATCGTGGACGCACGATCTGGCCAGTAGTTGCCTTATTTCTCTCAGAAGGCCTGGCCCAGTATTGGCCATTGGATTTTAATCGGCGGACGAATAAAAGGCCGATTTATTTTATTGCTGACAGACATGGCTCCATAACGCACACCAAAAAGGAAAAGTTAAGCACCTCTCTCTCTCTCTCTCTCTCTCATTGTTACTATTTGTCATTTGCGTTTTGTTCATTTACTATTTAATTTTGTTTAATTCATCTTTCGGTTTATGTATCGTTTTATTCCAACGTAGCGTTTTATTCTTATATTTATTTATTTTCGTATTGTTATATTTTCCGTTAGAGCGATTATTTTATTATTTTAAGTTCGTTTCTGTATTGGTCTCGGTCTCTTTTTATTCCATTAATAATTTGCGCATCTTTTTATTTATTTATTTATTCTGATTTGTTTAATATAAAGACCTTTTAGAATTCTTCGTTTCTCTTCATTGATATATGTCCTCTTTCTAAAGTTCGTTTCTGTATTGGTCTCGGTCTCTTTTTATTCCATTAATAATTTGCGCATCTTTTTATTTATTTATTTATTCTGATTTGTTTAATATAAAGACCTTTTAGAATTCTTCGTTTCTCTTCATTGATATATGTCCTCTTTCTAAAATCCATCTCTCTGGAGAATATCGAACTGTTACAACCTCTTACGGTGCAGCAGTACGTTGTAAGTTCGCATGTTACATACTTGAATCCGTTTTAAAAAGGGAACCGCCATATTTTTTACATTTAATTTCTATATACATTGGCCTTTATGTTAGAATCGTGACAATTTGCATAAAGGTTTCCGTTAGCGTTAATGACTATTCTCGGGGTTTATTATTGGCATTCAGAATGAATTAAGTAAAATCAAGAATGAAATTAAAATAACGAAATCAAAGCAAGGAGTGCCGAACGCGTATGGGCACTTTATCAAAGAATAATTTGGAATAATTAATCCTTTGACGTATAACCCCTCTCATGAGTCCTCTCATGAGCGCGGGCAGACAATAGTGGGTCAAATTTTGGACGTATATATATGCCTTTCGCAGCCAAAGGGCGAATAATATCTCATAATTCTCTTTGACACGTAAAAAAAGCAATATAGATGCTCCTCACCCATTTTATGAATCTTGCCATCGGTTATAGTAAATACATTGAAGAATAAAAAAGAGACGCGTCTTTTTCGAACGTGCTAATTCGCCAGTTTAAGCAATGAAAATCGCTCCCACGGTTGATCCCCACAAACGGTTTTGTTATGCTTTCTCGAAATCGGAATTAAACGTGATACATTGCTGCAATCGGTGATTAAAACTGAACAAACCATGGACGGTCCGGTCGAGTTGTTGGGATCAACCTTGGGGGTGGTTTCCGCCCCCTTAAACTCGCGAATTAGCCCCTATAAAAAAATACGTGTCTTATATTTTTCGATGTACTGCCCCGAACCAAAGAAATCGGTGGAGCACACTTGAAATACTTTCCTTGTCGGTAGGGTTACATGCAACGCAACCACGCACTAATTTTGTTAGGTCTAACATATTCATAGTTTATAGTTAAGAGCAAAGGCGTTTAGAAATAAATTTTTGAAAATGTCGAACAATAACATCCATGAGGTTTTGTAACACGGGCTCCATATCTGGAAGTCTTCACGGGAAAGATGCTAAAGGATATCTGGACGGGGTCCTAAAATAAGGTTTCGGAGAGAGGCCGGAACTCTTCATTTTCTCCCAATCTCTCAGTTCTAGGGAGGTCCAACCGATCCTCGTCCACTTAAGGACTTAAATTATTCCATCCCGAAGGACTTAAATTATTACAAGTGTTAGGACTAATCCATAATTTAATAATTATAACGCTAAATTCTAATTTGGAATCCTCTCTGCAGCGATCAGGGTGTTCTATTCTTCCTTATTTCAAGTTCCGTTTATTTGTCCTCGTGTCTCTCTATGTCATATAGCACCATTGATTCAGTCACGTATTATGCTCATAACTTAAATTGATTTCTAAACAGTAACTCTAACGCTTCGCTCTCTTATCTACCACCGTGGTCCTTTAGTCCATGATTCGTTTACTTTCTAAGAACTCCTGGTCCTTTAGCCCATTTTTATATTCCCCACCTAAGCCTCCTTAAACAACACTAACTTTTCCCTTTCTCAATACTCATTAACCAATCGCCTTCGATTATCGATCCCTCTTTAATTTCTCTACGCCTATCAGTAAACGCTTTGCAAAAAACTCCGCCCTAGAGGACAGCATCCGAAAGCGCTCTGGACCTAGAGTTCGAAAATTCTCGGTAACATTAAATTGGAGAAGGTAACTGTGAAACATACCGTAAGTTACCGGGAACATTGAGAATTGGAAGAGAACGTTAATTTTGTTATTTATATTTTAAGTTTCTTCGTTTAAATAACTTTTTTTTTTCAATGAACTTCAAAGTTCAAGCAAAGAGTAATAATTACTATTAGAAATTATTGATTAGAGGGTCGTATTTACTTCCAGCTAAAAATATTCACGTATGTACAACTTCACGGAAAATTCCATGCGATTTGTTTCTAACGAACTGATATTTCATTCTGCGACGAAGCGAATGGGAGGTTTTGATTGGCTACGAAGAACGTACAACGGAAATTCCCCTCTACGATGTTTGTCTATAGCTAATCGAAACCTCTCGTTCGCTTTGTTGAAAAATTCAAAGTCTCATAATTTCTCGATAAAAAAGGCTTTGGAGAAATTACCGATAAATTACCGGGAATTTCTCTTCGTTTCTGACGTAACTTACTGGATTTAGAACTCTATCTGGACCAAAGTTCCTCTGGGCATGAGGAGAATCAAATCTTCCACCGCGAGAGACGGACATCTCCTGCTCTTAAAGACAATCAAGTCTCACCGCGACTCCAAATAGTCGCCCGCTAATTTGTACCGTGCGACTGCCGCCGTTCATAGTGTCATATTCTAAAATTGTTATCGGATTTACTCGTTATTTTTAATAAACTATTTGTGTTACGAATTCAAGTCATGTGCCCGAACTCATAAAACCGACCTGACTCGAGATTTCGTCGAGAATTAACCAGTCTTCAAATTTGGCTCTCACATCCAGTGCAACCCGCGTTCATACTTTCCTTCGAACATCCGCAACAACAACAAGCTAGTTGAGCCTCATACCATTTCTCCGAATTGCAGGGTTCCACGGCAACCAACAGAATTCCAGAAAAGAATAATTTGACTCCACGTACTTAACCAATAGAGCTAAGACAAAACTGTTTTACTTCGTCTAGCAAACTTAAGATCTTAGGACATCTGAGCTACATGTTTACATTCCAACAGTATAACTCGAACCGATCAGGCGAGCCACATAGCGCTCTAGCATTAGGGTTATATCGGTATAGCAATTGTCATAACCGCACATACATGTTATATTGTTGACTAGCGATAACAAAATCATTTATTATCGTGTTACATAAAAATTAGTCATAGAAAATTAGTTTGGCGGGCGACCGCGAAGAAGGAGACGATTCGATAACGCCGAATCCTAATTTGGTTTAGTAGGCGTATTGTCGTTGTGTTTCATCCCGGGTCTGCCTGGGTGGACTCGTCAGTAAGGCTATCAGGCAGACCCTACCTTAGACACCAAAAAATCTCTCCTGAGCGGGATTCGAACCCGAGAGACTACGCGGTACGAGCGGTGAGCGTAACTGCTGGCCTATCGAAGGCCCGTGTAGAAGGGTTGGGTGAACCTGGAATCCAGTTTGAGGGACAAGAAAAATGAACAGGCTTATTGGAATGTTTCTGCGATGTAGACGATTGTGCCATTTTTTTTTTACATAATTCAGAGCTTCTAAAAAAAATAAACAAATGCCAAAAATGACCATTTTAACGTTTTCGAGTTCTTGGGACGCTCTGAATTTTCCTAACATCTGAGAACCCATTAGAGTCGAAAAATCCAAATTTCCACGATTTCGGAATTTGTTTATCTTTTTGATCAGCTTTGGTTTTTGTAAAAAAAGAAAAATGCCGCAGACAAAACTCAACGTGACACGAACGTCTACATCACAGAAACATTCGTCTAAGCGTGTTCATTTTGTTTGTGCCTCAAACTGGGTTCCAGGTTCACACAGCCGCGTAGAAGGAAGAACTTCTGATATATACATACGCTATGACCGCCACACTAAGAAACTGAATCTCGCGACTCAAGAAATTTTTCCTTTGTTTCCAGTGCCGATGGCTTTAAGGTGGGCTGCGACTGGGCGCGTGCCACGTTTAGTCCCGATGGGCAGTACATCGCGGTCGGCTCCTCGGATGGCTGCGTTTTCATCTGGTCGATCGCGACCAACAAGGTGGAATCGGTCCTGAAAGACCACTCGTAAGTACCGACTTTGTCGCGGCGCTCGACTAACGAGGTTAAGCTACGAGTTAAGGCCGAACAAGCGAATTACATTAGCGCTTTATCGCGTCGTTACGCGGCCTCCGGAGCCGGACCGAATTCCCGGGAATTTCCGGGGAATCTCGGTATTTCGATGTCACCACGACCGGGTCCTCCAGGACGAGCCGAGTCGCCGCTTCCAGCCGCGGAAGATCGAGGAGAATCGAATATCCCTCGGGACTGAGCCCAGGCTCCTGGAGATACTGGGTGTTGAGCCGGTAACTCCAACCTGGAAATTATTGCTCCCCTGATTTATTTTCGACTCCCACCTAAGATGGATCATGGCAGAGCCAAGGGAGATCCGAGACTCCTTTTTACGGTAACATCCTAATTACGGAAGGACACCTTAGATAACACCCTGTTTGCCACTAAGACCCGGCCACTACATATGTGCTTCGCAAAACTGTTTGATACTGAAACGAAAATTGCAACAAAAACCAAAGAAAAATTTACGCCCAACAATTCCGCAGGGTCGAGCAATGGTCAAAAAGATATACGGTAGTTTCCAATTTGCACAACTTTTATTTTGACTCTCCTGATTTATTTTTGAGTTCCATTCAAGATGGACCATGGCACGGCCAAAGGAGTACAGATCCTTTCTGCAATAACATTATGGTTAATGAGAGATATTTTAATGGTACACAGCTCAGAGAAAATACTTCTCCATCTAAACGTCAAAGTCGTGAATATCTGATAAAGACATGTATTGTTTTCCTTATTGAAAGGAGAGTATAACCATATCTTGATAAACGTAGATATTTTTTAAACCAGAATTGAATTGCCACCTCTTTACGGTATTTCAAACGATATAAAAAAAACTCGATAGAGCTTTTATAAATACATTTTTATAAGGATCTCGCAGGGTCGGGTGATGAGATAAGTTAGTTTTTGATTAGCGTGATTTTTATTTTTGATCTCCTTATTTATTATCGACTTCCACTTTAAATTGATCATGATGAAGCCGGAGAAGTACGGAGTCTTCTTTTTACGGTAACATTATACTTAAAAAAAAACACATTCGATACTGTACAGTTTAGAAAAAGAAAGAATTGCACTACTTGAAAATTAAAACCATGCATGTCTGTTAACCACAGAAATTTTGAATAATAGAGGAAGACTATAATCATTTCTCAGTGATTACACGTATTTTTTTAAACCGTAATTGATGCACTATCTTTTTACTTAATCCTAAACAATGTAAGTTAATCTCTGATTTGACAATTCATATTTTTAAGTGTTGTAACTTTTTCGAGAAACAATGCACGGAATGCGGTGAAAGTTCCGTGAATTTTATTTAGTTGAATTACTCGGTGATTTTGAAATAAGAAATACCTTTTAATTATATGTTGTTAACCGCGTAGCCATGTTGATTCATTAATTCCTGAAGCAGTTGTGTTTCGTTAAAATATTATAAAAAATTACGAGAATATTCGCTACACCATGTATTATTTCGAAAGGGGCTTATAAAAGAATTACAGATTCTGCACAATGGAACGTGCTTTAATTATGCCAAACATGGGATTACGATAAATTATTTTAATTGAGAAATTAATATTTATCAAATTGAAGTGCCGAAATTTGGCATTAAGTACTCGATGCCGTTCGGTTACTTATATGTATCCGACGCAGAATTTTACTGAGTTTCCTGGTACTTAAGTATTTTTGTTATGATTAAAAAAGTGGTCGCGATATATTAGATTTCTTTTATGTTGGAATGGGGTGTAATGGAAGTTATGAGGTCTCCGAGTATAACTCTTGGAGAAAGGGGGTTTGGAGGAAATCGATATAAGTGATTCATGTGCCCTTAACCCGAAGCACCGTTATTAAGAAGGAAAAAAGATGGTGTAGATGAGGAGCTTATGAAAAATTAATTTCTATTTTTCACTAAGTTGGCATTTATTGTTACGAAAGTAATGGACGAGGATTTATGTTATGATGATTGTGGCAATACTCCTGAGGTATGTAATTATCGCATTACGTGATAATTGCGTTTCATAGAAGCATTATTTCAAGGATTCGTAGTCAACATGTATTCAACATATTTGGAAAAGATTAGGAAAATACAAGAAAAATAGAAATATATGTGTGAACACATTGATTCTATTTTCGAGTTGTTTTGTACTACATCTCTTTCCTGTATCCTTTCTTTCTCTTTACTCACAGATATATTGTTCCGAAAATTCGGATCCATGCATTTCTGACAAAACGTGAAATGTTGAAATTTTGTTCTAAAAGGATTTGATTTTCAAATGTCACGTAAAATCATATTATCAGCAAATTATATCAGTAACAAATTTGTTCTCCATATCAGTTAGAAATAATCATTAAAACATAATTGACGATACCAAATTTGACAACTACATTCCAAATGGTATTGAGAAATGTCCACTATTAAAAAAGATGAAATATTTATAGAGCCGTAAGAAACATTTCTTTATATCTATATTTCCTTCGAAATCGAGGCATATTCTAAGGTTCGTTCTTCTTATTGTTAGCTACACTTTGTACACTTTCGTGAAAAGTGTACACTATACATTCTCTTTGCCGGAAGTGACGTAAGGTATCGCTATTCTCTTTGAAAGTGTAACTACACTAAGTGTAATGTGGTGTACACCTTCTTACACCTAGTTCCGAGGAAGAGTAAAAAGTGTACGCGTGAATTTGCATGATTTGGAAGTTGAGCGTAGAAAGAAATTATCTTCTATCAAAGCGCAAAAGAACAAAGAGTAATTGTCATCGAAGCAATCAAATAAGTTCCAAGGAAAAGCTCCAAAATATTTGCAATTAGTTTCCTTTACTTATTTTCGAAATCCATTGTAACACATGAAGTGCAGAAGAAAGAAAAAGTTGTTCAACGATCACGGAACTTGTAAATGTATATTATATACATGTATGTATTATATGTTTCACTCCCTAAAAGCCATTAATTTGCTACAAATATTACGTATATCTACCCTAAACCGCTACTTTGTTTTTGCTCCTTGGCGTTTTCCTCATAAAGCATAGACTTTTTCCCCACTATCAAAAAATCGAGGTTAATCGAGGGTAGCTCATTTTTTAAGAGTGGGGAAAAAGTCTATGTTTTATGAGGAAAACGCCAAGGTGTAGAAAATGTAGCTAACAAGATTAAACTTCTAGTTCGAAATCTTAGGAAATTACACCACGATAGAAGCTTGAAAAAAATCAGATTTTTCTTGCAAGTTTAATTGATAATTGTCAGTTCTAAAAAGAATATCCAATTGCTTTAAATACAAAATCCTCATCGTTTAACGAATTTAGATTAAAGATGAATTTCAATTTATTCTTGTATTTTATAAACCAAATCGGAACAAAAAGTGTAAATGCGGTGCTCTCAAAAACAATATTTGGAATGTCAATAGCATTGATAGCGTCTACAATTTTTATTCGATTCACTTCAAACTTTCACATGATCTTTTTCTTTTTACATTACTTAGGCCAGTATGTGAAGGTTTAGCGATAGATGTAAAACTGCGTTTGCTAGAGGTACTTGCATGCAAAATTTTCTATATAAACTCTAAATTTTTCTATCAATTCTGTCTCATTTCGATAAAAGTCAAGATTTAAAAAATATCCCCTATACTAACCCAGCAAATGTTAAACAGAAATGAGAAAAAGTTTTCTATCCCACTTAAAAAACTATGTCCGTAATCGACGCCACCCCAACGAGGGTTGCCTCAAAAGATATTGTAGCGCACTTGCTCCATGGCCGCCATTTTGCACGAAAAAAAAATAAAAATAAAAATGGGAAGAACATACAAATCCATACATGTGTAACAAAGTCCCATTGGGAAAAGTTCCATTCAGTTTCTCCTATCTTCTAAAAATATTGGAAAAATCGCAACTATGTTCAGTCCTTCATCGTGGCGTAACATCTTAGTTAACCTTTTCGTTACCTTGACGAGATATCTCGCGATCCAATACTGACCGATTAACGCATTTGACGAGATATCTCGTGATCCGATACTGACCGATCAACGCTTTTGACGATAATCTAGCTTTCTAGCACCAATATTTTGACATTCTAGATGAATATATTTTATAACTAATTCTATTCGTATAGCTAAAAGGAAGAAATAAATACAGTTTTTATTAATTTAATGAAATTATTTTTATTTACTTTCTACTCAACTCAACTCAAAGGCAGAACACAAAATAATTTGTCTAGAATGTCAAAATATTAGTGCTAGGAAGCTAGATTATCGTCAAAAGCGTTAATCCGCTACTACCGGATCGCGAGATATCTCGTCAAAAGCGTTGATCGGCCAGTATTGGGTCGCGAGATATCTCGTCCAAGGTAACGAAAGGGTTAAAAATATTTAACCAGGTTGAATTAAAAACGGCACAGCCCCGTGACCCTTCTTGCGAGGAAAGAACAATGCAGGGTCCACGAGTCTGCGGGGGCGAATACTCAAAATTTCACGTAGGACATTGCGGCGATAAATTATCACTTAATTGCAAGCAGACCGGATCTGTCTTTAACGCAGCAGCCCGGTCATATCGATCTGCGGAGGGTAACTGTACTAAATGGAAATAGGTGGGTTAATTGGAAAGTACGACCAAAGGAAATGACTGTCAATACCACTAAATATTTCTCCGAGTACGAGCAGCGTCCTGTCTTTGGACACATTCGAGCGGCATGGCCTCGATACGTCGAGTGCTAATTCTGCCTCCCTAACGTCGCCCAGCTAGTGTGCATACATATCCATAATAAGCGCGATTCCGAGGCGCACTTCACGAAGTGCCTCGCATTCTCGGCTGGAAGTTCTCGATGAACATCGTCTCCAGACTCTCGACGCTACTTTGCCTCCCTGTTGATACGGAAGGTATTTCGTGAACGCGCGTTTCTCGGTACGTCCATTCAGACCGTTCGCATTAACCGAAGTACTGCCGTGTTAAATGATACGGTCATAACAGGGTTT